TCACAGCCTACTATGCATGCAATAAAGAATATGGCTAGAGTGCAGTGAAATATGACCTGTATGACAGCTGGCTTGAGTGATGATGGGTGGAGAGCATGGCATAGCAGTAGGATAATACCAGAGAGGGTCATACTGCACATGAGATCCTAGCACTTGACACTAATTGTGCTAATACAAGTACAGAAAGACTTACTAAAAATAAAGAGCACACAATCAAAATATGATCAGGGCTTTACATGTGACTTTGTATCACATTGATCAATGATGCATAGGCATTAAATTGCTAAGGGACATGTTCTTGAACAGAGCATGGGTGCACAATGAGATAAACCTGAATAGTGGAGTTATTGGCCAAGAAATGAGAAGATTTGGTGAAAGTAATGACCAGAAATGATCCCAGCAGTCTAGAATGACTCCTGTGCATGGATTAATTACCCCAGGGACATAAGAAAGCAAAGAGACCTGTGGCTAGACCACTAACAGAGATAACCAGTGTCAGATTGCATAGAAACAAACAGGAGTTCTGATCTGGAGCAGAATATGCATGTCAGACTGTGACATGTGCACAAATGATATGCCAGAAACTCCAGAATGGAGTTCTGCACTTTGAAACTACTATATTTGGTGTCACTTAGTAAGTACAGTAGTAGACTATTTAAGTACCATATTGTAAGAGTAGTAGACAAGTTTCCAACCTCCACAGTTGCAGTGTATTAGGCATGAAGGCCTTGCACTCCAGCTCTGGGTTTGTGTTTGTAACTTTAGGCAAGAGAATAGACCTATTATTGATATCATAGAGAGAGATTTGAGAACTGTGCAAAGCATAGAAGCTTGCAAGAGACTTGAATTCAATTTGATAAGAGGTTTTGAATTGTGCTCTAGCCTGAGAATAAGATAGCAGTGTCTAAATGGCACTATCTTGACTTTTTGAGTTGTTTGTAATGCAAGGCACTACAGGTGGCAGAGGTTCAAACTCTTTGAGTCTGTTGGACAGTGTTTTATTCTGTTTTGTGTCTCTGGATCATATAGGTTTGAATCCTGCAGGTCTACAATCAGTTTGAAAGCTTGTGTGCAGAGGTTTGAACCCTTTGGCACTTGTGGACATGTTTGTGAAGTGTATCTGCATAGAGCATGAAGCTTTGAGTCATATACAGTGTGTGTTTAGAGATTTGGAATTGATCTGAACTGTGCTTGGGACCTTTGAGAGTTTTGTGGGATTGTTTTGACATATTGTATTGAGCTACAGTATCATTTGCCTTGAGGCCTGGCAATCTTAGTTGCCACCTGTTGTTTTTATAAAACAAAAAGCTTTGAGACTTAGAGAGATCTGAGATGGTTATACCTGCACTATTGCTATTTGCACACAGTGGATTTATTGAAGAAGACAATTACATTTGCTGTTGCTACTTTATCACAGTATAATCCTCCCAACAAACTAAGAAGTATTGTGTGTGTTGTTGGTATGGTTGTGATCAGTGGATAACACTCTGCTGTGACTGTTTTCATCTTGCACACATGCAAAAATTCTTCAGTGTCCCATCAATCAAGTGTATGTGTATGCATCTTGGATATACTTATCAACTTGAAGTTCTTCTCATTTCTCAGGGGAGTGAGATTATTCAGTTCATACTGAGCCAGAGCCCCTAAGACTAAATGAATACAAGTTTTTCTGGGAAGGTTAAGTACCAAGTTCCTGGCTTTTTATATATCAAATATTATAACAGCTGTGTGCCCTGAGTAGAGGTTCAATTCTCTACATTTGAATATCAGATGTCAGGATGAGTATACAAACCTTTTTTCAAATTTCATCACTCTCCTGCAGTATATCAACACAATGAACAGAAACAGAACAAATTGCTGCTCCACATATCACAATCCAACCCCAAATGTGGGCTGCCATTCAAGTATGACTGTTACCTATGTAAGTCTGCCCTTCTTAATTGAACATGGTATAATGGGGAGCCTTACCACTTTACCTCGATTCAGCTCTCAGGGTATGAATCCATTGTTCAGTACTCAGTTAAAGAACCTTTTTGGTATTTATAGCCAATTATTCATGCAAAATTGCAAGGCTGTCCCATTCCAGAAACTGTTCCTTGACCAATCAGCAAATAACTACTGTCACCAGGGGTTCAAGGTTGATCCCTTGTGTCCAGATAGTTCAGTGTGGACTGCCCTCATATTTTTACAGTGGCTCATGTTCATCATGAGATGGCTAAATGATGTACAGACATGAACTTATCTCTACCAGAGGATGAATGAATGTCTCCTATCTCCTTCCACAAACACATCCTTCATATAGTGGGCTAGTGTTTTAGGGCCTTGTCAGGGGTTTTCCTTGTCAATGAATAAGTGAGTGGTGTATGACTACCCCATCATTAATACCAGTCTTCCTGAGATGTTACAAGTCAAGCTCCTCAGAGACCATCAACATTCCTAGTTGTCCATTATTGCATTCAGATATGGCACAACTATTATGTTCACCTTGGACTTTGTTGTTCAATTCCCCATATCTGAATAGTGTTCTTTAGCAAGTTGCATTATATTTTTCACAGGCACCCCTTCTGAAGTTCCCTTTTCACTCTACCCACACTGCTGGCTGGGAGAAATAATCAGCATGTATTGTGTTACTCCATTCATGGTCATTCCTCTGGTCTTCATCAGCAATGGTATATCTGTTGTCTGTTCCTATCTATCTCAAGGCTTTCAGATACAATGCCTAAGGTTGTTCACCACTGGGTTCAATTCCCTGTACTCAATTTACCAATAGCCCTGTGTAGCTCCTCAGAAGCCTTTTTTCATTTCACCTGCATGAGGTGTGCCTCATAGTTTCGTCTTTTTCTTCTCTCACTGTTATTTCGAATTTCACTAAGGTTAGCCGGTTATTTGAGTGCCGTTTTTTTGCTGCGATTGTGAGTATATCATATATTTTCTCTTGTGACTGTCACTGTAATGGCTAGCAAGCTCCAAATAGAAGATTAATTCCCTGATTCTAGCCAATGCTCTCATTACAAGAAGCCTCATCATTCATGGACAGATATTGTATGGGGGATATGATTATTAAAGGGTATCATTGAAGTTTGACTATTATATAATACTTATTCAGATTCCTCCTTCTTGTTGGAATATGGCGCAACAGCGAACCTAAATAATGCTATCTGGGTTCAATTCAAAGGACACGAATACATCTTTCAGAAACAGCATTTTTTTTTAGGTATTTCTGGCCAATTATTCGTAAAGGCTCCCCCCCCGTCACCCCAATCCGTTCAGTCTAAATGTAACTGGATATAGCCTAACCATCAGTGGGGCTTCGAGGTTCGATCCCTCGCATATGGATGGTTCAATGATGATTGTTCTCCTTTTATTTTTACAGTGGCTCATGTTCTTCGCGAGACTAGACAGTCACTAAGGATGACATGCAATCATGGACTTGTATCAACCAGAGGGTGGATATCACCGGTCTAGTGTTATAGAATATTGTGGTTTCGGCTCTCAGCCTTGTCGGTAAGTAAATATATAAGCCTCTTCTGCCATTAGTATCAGTCTTGCTGAGAAATAAGCTCCCCCAAAGAACGTTAATGCCAAAGTTTATTGTTGGTACTCACCATTGCATTCAAAGATAGCATAACCATTGCGTTCATCATGGGTGTCACGGTTATATCCCTCAACTCTTCATAAATTGGTCTGAAATAGTTTTCAATACATTTTTTCACGGAACTCCGCTTGTCACTCCACCCACACACCGTCTGCTGGGAGAAATAATTGGCACAATGCTGTGCTATTCCATTCAGCTCCGTTTTCATTATTGGCTAGCATTGTTCACGTCCCGGTTCTATTCTCTATTGAAAATTAAGATGGGGACGGATGCTTTTCACAGGCCCAAGCGCGTGTTTCGCCATCCGTATTGTTCTCTCTCCAGTTCTTAATTCTGAGCTTCATGCTCGAACTTGAAGCCAGGAAGGGATAAAATGCCACAGCTCGCAGATATCATAATCCCTAAGTACAAGTGCCGATTATTCTGAGATCACGAACAGAATCATCCTCTCTTTAATCTCGGATATGGTATAATCGCTAGTGGTCATTTGGCGGGTGGGTTCAATTCCCTATATTCGAATTCCTCGCAGATAAGGATGAGTACTTTTGAAAAATACCACCTGATACTTGCCTCTCGAAGGGACCTATCTCCAGCATACAGACAAAGAGTATTATAATGGAATTTCTGAGGTTCAATTCTGTGCATTTATGTAATTCTTTCTCTTTGCGTTTGCCGTTCCTCAGAGATGGCCGGCTTTTTTCGGACACATCTTTCTAAATCTGTTGTCACGAATCTACTTCATAAGATGCAGATTGAAGAGTCCTCACTTGATAGCGTGCATTCGGTGCATAATTGATTGTGCGTCACATAGAGAATACGGCGAATACCGGCTCGAAATTTATATGAGTCATTTTTGAGTGCGTCATCTGACGTGTGTATGTCAAGTTACGTCATTCCTGCCGGTTCACTTGCGTAGGACCCCCTGAAAATAGGTTCGGAAGCCGTGTTACGAAGCCCAAAAATTTGGTGAAAATGTTCTTGACATGAATTGGAAAATATGTAGCCTCCCCCACATCTCCTATGGTTTGTTCGGAGGACTGACACGGCATCCCCACCTGTTTTCAGGACGTTTGCTTCTAAAATGGGTTGACAACTTGGGGTCAATTGCTGGGTCACCGTGAGGAGTTTGTGCACCAAGTTGCATCTATGAAGTCCGGACCATGACACGGCACCCTCTTGACTTGTGATCTGACATCCGGACAAAATAATACCAGGCTTTGCTAAATTTGGCTGAATTTGTCGAGACGAAACATGACATAGCACTTTTTTTCTTGCTGATTTTGTCCGGATCGCGCCACAGTTTCCCATCTATTTTAGGAGGCATGCGGACATTTAACAACAGCTGTTATGACTGTACGCTCCTTTCTCCATATCCACGATGTCCACCACCACCACCACTACCACCATGCATGTCGTGGACGAGCCAGGCGAGGAGAGGAAAGACCGTCCTGCGCATTGGACCTCTGACAGGCCTGTATGGTTCCAGAATCCGTGGACGAGCTGGAGGACGAACAGCAAGCTGGATGGGGCCAGGATGGTGTGTGGCTTTGGGTCATTGAGATTTCCAGTGTTGATGGCTATTTGGCTAGCTCGCCTTTAGCAGTCGCAACGCACCCGCTCTGCCCAACGTTGGGATCCCTGTAAGGACGCCGACGTGGGGTACAGAGGAAGAGCACCGAGGCGCGGTCAAGGCAACGTGGTTGGGCCACGCATGTTTTCTTGTCGAGCTGCCGTTCATTACTGGGCTTGAGAGGGGTGCTAGGGTGCTGTTTGACCCCGTGTTTAGCGATAGGTGCTCGCCTAGTCAGTCGTTCGGCCCGAAGAGGTACACGGAGCCGCCGTGCAAGATTGAGGATATACCAGAGGTGGATGCTGTTGTCATCTCGGTGAGTAGCCTATTCTTGGTTCAATGACGACACTAAGCCAAAGTTCAGCATAATCACTATGACCAGTATGGCGCCTTCCTTAGCCCCGTCAATCACTTGCTCATCCTTTCCTAGCCTAGACACCCATACCATAAGCACTCTCTTCAAACGATCCCGCCTCCCGCACATATTCGCTCCCCTGGGAAACGATAAGTACTTCGAGTCGATAAGTATACCCAAGGCGCACGCACATACCCTCGATTGGTGGGACGCACGACGCGTGGAGATACCCCACGATGGCGCGTCTTTCAAGTTGACTTGCACTCCCGCCCAGCATTTCACCGGCCGAGGGTTATTTGACCAGGGAAAGACACTCTGGGCCAGCTGGGCCCTTGAGGGTGAAGGCAAGAAGGTCTATTTCGCCGGTGATACTGGCTATCGGTCTGTCAAGGATGGGGAGAACGAGGAGGAGCGGCCGGTGTGTCCTGTCTTCAAGGAGATTGGGAAGAGGTTTGGGGGGTTCGATCTGGCGTTGATTCCTATTGGGTAGGTGGAGCGAAACTGTGAGTGGATGATTGTTAATGAATTTTTTTCTGGTAGAGCGTACCAGCCGAAATGGTTCATGTCGACTGTACATTGTGCGCCACAGGATAGTGTGCGTATTTTCAAGGATTTGAAGACGAAGAAAGCGATAGCTATGCATTGGGGGTGAGGCATGTTTTATGTCATCTTTCTCTGCGAGATTTTGATTCTTTCTAGGACGTGGATGCTGACGACTGAGGAGGTTACGGAGCCTCCCAGGAAGTTGGCTGAAGAGTGCAAGAAGATTGGGATACCTGACGGTGACTTTCTTGTCAGCGATGTTGGGGAGACGAAATACTTTTAATACGTATAGTACTTTTGCTAAATATTAGGCGTAGAGGTGCTCGAGGGAAAACTAAATGAAATGAAATAAAAAGTGGCAGATATAGAGAACTGTTTCCCGTATATATATATTTGCACCAAATGAAACCAAGATTCTTAGGGATTGAACTTCAGGCTTGTGGTGGTGGTAGCACTCGCCGTTGAACCACATCGGTTCCTGTGTGAGGAGGTAGTAGCTATATTTCGTTTCAAGTTGGTATTACACATGAACGAGCTACTGCTAATCCGCTGAAACCATTGGTCTCGGAAGGCCCGTCGACACGGAGGAGCTTGGAAACGAAGTCGGAGTACGACAAAGGCACCAGAGAAAGCAAATCTCAAGAATGCTCATAAGGCTGCAGTTATAGAGAAAGGTTAGAACTCATTTCATTCCGCTCTCTAGTACTCCACCACTTCCTTTCGTCACAGGTTATTAATCTGTGACGAAAGTATGGTTATGTGCATTGTGTTGTAATTGACACGTTGGTGAGTTGTAGAATCTCCGTTGCATGTAAAATCCTATGAGGTGATTTATTGGTTACGCGTAGTGTAGTCACAGAAAATAAGCCAGACTAACATTTTCCAACGCCATTTCAAGTCCCAGCCGAATTTTTGATGCAATCCCACAGTCCTGTGATCCATATCACCGATCACAGTCAAATCATCACTCCCTGATTTCACGACAGACTCTCACGAGCATCTGGATCTCACCAACACCCGACCTAGCCGCCATGCAACCGGTGTATAGGCACCTTTATAGTAGAGAGTTCAGGTAGGATATCAATTTTTTTACCTGCAGCTTCGTCAGAAGCTAGTAACCTCAGAGACGAAAATCTCCTCTGTCTCTAAGTCTCAGAAGAAGACATGTGCTCGGGAGGTCAAGTGTAGAATATCGTTAGGTGATCGTGCCAAAGTCATTGCCCAGGTGGAAGCAAGAAGAATATGAGTACGTTGGATTCACAGTAGCTCAACTAGGGAGATCGTTAATCTCAGCCTTTGCCTGGAGGTCTTCCCTTGCGATCCATCATCCAGCTCCTAGGAAACAAATATAAGATGGTAATTCAATGGAAAGGGAGGCTCTTTGTGCGAAATCGAGTGTCCCAATAGATGACTTCCTCCTGCTGAGATTTCAGAGCATCACGAAGGCCGTCAACCTCTTGCTCGAGCACATGAGTACAGAGTTTCTTTGGTTCATTTTCCAAGGATAAATAGGTAAGTTACTCTGGGCTGACTCCAGCTCTTTTTCAAGACGTTTGGCTTTTTTTTCCGAGATGAACATTCAGAGTTTCAGCGGCTGAGTTTTCGTTTCAGAGAAGAATGGCCTGGAGAGAAAATTTCATGGTGTGTAATTCTTGGAATCATACCTCCCAGATATATAGGAATGTCATTTATGAAATGGCCTCGAAATAAAAATCAACGCGTGAAAAATATTGAAAGGCATCTATCTACACCCATCAGAGATGCTTCTTGATCACGATGTTGATGCTTGTTTATAAAAATGCAGGATATTCAAGGCATTTTCTCGCCAAAAAATGGCGAGAGGAATTCACAACTTACTCAACTTTTTGCTGAGATATACATCAAGCACATTCCATTCTATGTAAGAACTTGATAAAAACACCTGAATCTGTTCGCCATTTGTCTTTTCCTCTGGCCACCATGCACTAATAATTTTAAAACCACTGAAAAAATTTCTTTTATGAATTTAGGATTTTTGTTTAAGGCAGATTCGGCGAGGGACAGATTCTCCCCAATTGAAAAGTTGTTGCTGTGCATAGGAACTCAATCAGTAAAATTTTGCATATGAATTGCAACTCTCAGCAATATTTCACATTGTGACCCAAGCTAGACATGGATAGCACTACAATACCAAGGACCCACTGTGCAATGAACATGGTAGAGCTCAGCAACAAAACCACCAAGATTAAGATTAAGATGTCACCTTGGTGAGGTCAGGATCCTTGAATCTGAGTATTTGTACTTCCCCCTTTGTTCTGCTGGTGCCTATTATTGTCTGTAGGGGTGGAGAGAAATACCTTAGAGAATATAGTGAACCTTAAGATGCTGTATGGTGCTGTCAATGCTGCTAGATGTTGAATGAGAACTCATAGAAAGCATCTATCCCCATCTTAATTGATAGAGAATCAAATTGGGAGGTGAACAACACTAGCCAATAATGAGTGAAATAGCATGGTGCTGTGCTGATTCCTTCTTCCAGCTGATGGTTTGGATGGGGAAACTAGTGCAGTTTCATGAAAAAATGCATCAAAGACTATTTCAAACTATTTATGCATACTTGAGGAATAGAACCATGATACTCATGATGAAAGCAATGGTTATACCATGTTTGAATGCAATAATGAGGACTAACAGTAAATTTCAGTGTTAATATTCTTTGGGAGACCTTGATTCTCAGCAAGACTGATACTAATAGCAGAGGAGCCTTGCATACTTACTTACTGACAAGACTGAGAGCTGAAACTATGAGATCCTAAAAATACTATGGTGGAGGCACTGAATAGATGATATTGATCCTCTAGTAGACATAAGTCCATATCTGTATGTCATCCTTAGTGACTGTCTGCTCTCACAATAAACATGGGCTGCTGTAAAAAGAAAGATATTGAGATTATCATAGAACCATCCAGATGTGAGGGATCAAACTTTGAAGCTCCAGTGATAGTTAAGCTATATTCACTTACATTTAAACCAAATAAATTAGAGTGAAAAGAGGCCATCCTTTATGGATAATTGGCAAGAAATACTGAAAAAAAGGTTCTTTTTCTGAAAGATGTATTCATACCCTGGGAATTGAACCCAGTTAGGATGGTTAGGTTTTCCACTGGACCATATACAGACAAGAAGGATGAATATAAATAAAAATTAAATAATAGTCCAACTTGTTAGGCCTAAGTTGCATATGACTAGTAACACATAATAAATGACTGCTATCTCATGTTCAGGTACAATGATCAAGTTTGCAGATACCAGTGTAATGTGGTCAAGATGTTTGCAGGTTGCTCAAGATGAAGTGGTAAGAATAAACTTTAGCTCAAAGCTGAGGTTTTACCAGCAAGAGTGAGCCTCTTAAATACTGTACAAGTTACTGTCTAAATATATTGTTACTAATTGTGTGTTGTTGTGGTCTTTGTGCCCATTGTCCTTGGGCATTGCTACTGTTCATAAAAGGTTGATTGTGCATTGTCAGGCAGTGTTGTTGCATCAAAAGACAATGATGGACTTGGCCTGTTGTGATGACTAAGCCTTGTCCCACAGTCTTAAGTGCCCATGTTAGCGCTCTGACTAAGCATAAATAGGGGTTAAATTTGAGAAAAGAGTGAAAAATCATAACACAACTGTGATAATGCTCCTATAATAATCTATCTCCAGCAGGTATAATATCTGTGCATGAATGAGACTGCTCATAATGAGAGCATGAGCTAGAATCAGGGAATTAATCTCATAGTTGGAGCCCACTAGTCATAATACATGATGTACTTACAATCTCAGCAAAAACAGGACTCAAATAACTGGCTAACCTTAGTGTTACAATTTTTCCACTTTTATCTTTTCTTTCATGAGTTAACCCCTATTTATGCTTAGTCAGGATGCCTAAACCAGTGCTTAAGACTGTGGGACAGGCTTAGTCAGACAACAAGCCTAGTTGGTCATTGTCTTTCAATGTAACAGCATTGCCCAACAATATACAACAAACCTTTTGTGTACAGTAGTGGCACTCAAGGACAATGGGCACAAAGGATACAGCAACATACAATAGGCAGTAGTATAATTAGTAATGACTTGTACAGTATATAAGCTAGCCCACTCTTGCTGGTAATCCCCAGCTTCAAGCTAAAGTTTATCTATCTCATTCTACTCTCAAGCTATCTCTAAAGGCCTTGAAGCATATTGGTCAATAAAGCACAAGTGAACTCTAGTGGAAGTCTCAAATGCAAAGGCACACTAGTTTATCACATGTTTCAGATCATGTGTGGCTTGAGTCTAACACTTAGTGAAATTCAAAAATTACAGCAGGAGAATAAAAACATATGAAACCATACACTTCATGGAGGTGAAATGAAAAAAGGCTCCTGAGAAGCTACACAGAGGTATTGGTAAATTGAGTACAGAGAATTGAACCCAATGGGAGACAACACTAGCTGCTGTGCCAGAAACTCTTGAGATAGATAGAAACAGATATAAAGTTGCTAACAAGGACTGGAGGATGAATCTGAATGGAATAGCATAGCATGCACTGATTTTTTCTTCAGCCAGCAGTGTGGATGGAGTGACAAGAGAACCTCCACAAGTGTTGCCCATGAATTCCAAAAGCCATCATCTATTCAGATATAGAGACTCAAACTGCAAAGTTGAAAATGAACATAACAGTTATATCATATCCAAATGTAATAATGATGACTAGGAATGTTGATGAGCCCTACAGAGCCTGATTTGTAACATTCAAAAAGACTGATACTAATGATGAAGGAGCCAAACACATGTACTTATTGATCAACAGAGAAACTCCAAGATTCTTAAACACTAGCCTATTACATGAAGGACACATTTGTGGGATTAGATTAGAGACACTCATTCATTTATCCTCTGATAGAGATAAGTTCATATCTGTACATTGTTTATCAGTCTTATGATGAACATATGCTACTGTGAAAATATAAAGCAGTCTGCATTGAATCTCAAAGCTCCTAGTTAGGCTATACACAATTATATCTTGACTGGTTAAGGAATAGAATCTAGCCATAGAGACAAGACAGCCTTGAAATTTGACATAAATAGTTAGCCTTAAAATACTGAAAAGGGTTCTTTAACTGAGTACTGAAGAATGTATTTGTACTCTTGAATGGAATGAAGGTAAAGTGATAAAGCTTGCAGTTGTGCCATGTTCAAATAAGAAGGACAGACTTACAATGGTCATACTTGAGTGACAGCCCACATTTGTGGTTAGGTTCTGATATCTGTGGTAGTGATTTGTTCCATTCTGGTTCATTGTGTTGATGTTCCACAGAAGTGTGGCAAAATTTGAAAAAAGGTTTATATATATATATTTGAATGCAGAAAGTGAATCCCTACTTGGAGTGAACAGCTGCTATAATATCTGATATATATAAGAAACCAGAAACCTGATACTTAACATTTATTCATTCATTCTTAGGGACTCCAGCTTCATATGAGCTGGATAAATCCATGTTCTGTGGATAGGTTTATGTTAAATCAAACCACTTATACATGTATACTTCTGAAAAAAGCTGAACACAAAGAGCAACAGTTTAGATACAAGGAATTGAACTCAGAGAAAATGACACTTGAATATTACACCATATCTGAAAATGGAGGAGGTAAGTATAGGTTAAAGAAATAGAAAAACAATAAGGTAAAACTGTTGCAGATTAAAATTTGGAAGGTGACTGCAATGTAGGCATGATTGGACATTCCTGAGGGTGACAGTCAATTCTTCTTCAAGCAATTGACTGCTACTTCAGCATTACAGCCTTACACCCAATGCTGCACTCCATATCTGCAACAGGAATTTCCATCTTGGCAAGTGTGACATGCCCTTTCTTGTTGATATGATCTTAGGTGGGCTACAATATCACTGCATAGAGAATTCAATATTATAGCTCAAAATATTGAATTCACCATGCAGTGATGACTATTAACCACTTGTCCTTAATCCAATGATAGCAAACTGTTAACATCTTACTGACCACAAACTATTATCCCATCAGTGTTTTTCTCAACTCTACATCTGTACTAATTGACATCCCTTCACCTTTAAGCTGATATAACTGGATAAGCACCTCCAAAGTAGCATCTTGCGGTTAGTGTCTGCTGTTCTCTTTTTCATCCAGCCTCACACAGAAGGGAGCCACTGGAGGTACAGTGCTGGGTTATTGGTAGCAGAAGTGTACTGCAAGGTGTGCTTGTATAGACATCTTATATCATCAGGAACTAAGTATGACAACAGGATATTGATGATCATCTAGATCTATGATAGATGGTACATCTGAGCTCAGTTAGAGAGATGCTACTCTCAAGGTCACAGGAAGATGAAACAATGTGAATGCATGACTCAACCACAAAGTCCTATTCTGTGTCTATTTTTCCTTTGGCAGCTCGGTAGCTCATCTGATCGGTTGATATGAATGGAGAAATCCATCTACTTGGATAGCGCACTGTGTTACGGTTCAAGTCTGCATGGTGCATTGGAGCATTCATTTCCAACTTTGCTTGGTGCCCGGAAGTCATTTATTTAGTAGAAATCTGGTTATCTACCTCAGTCGGTCAGGTTCTGTCCCATTACATTTGAATAACTAACACCTTTTTCCCAAGCTTTGTATTTCGGTCCCTCAATACCTTTAACCGACTGGTAGTATGCAATCCCAGTATTAAATATCCCTCAATGTCACCGCCCTCTTGGAATGAAAAATTGGAAATACGCACTCGGAGCTGTCTCAGCAAATATCTATTAGAGAATCACTAGGAGTATCTGATGGAATTTCTATTATGGACATCCCCTTTCTGATCGGGGCATCAACCGGTGTCGTCCCTGGTTTTCACATGCTCATTATGTAGCGGTCACTGCTAGTATCTGCATGCCGTATGTCATTCAGTCTCTTTACTATGCTCAACTGCCGGGTAACATGATTTCCAGACTATGGGCTGCTACTATCACCCAAGCATCGGCCCATTGTCAGACCCACCCAAAGGATTCAATTATATCTCCATACCCCATGACATGTAGCTGATTGTCTGTTCAGTGTACGTGGGATTTCATGTCTACGAAGACCATCACCTCTAATAATATATACCAAACCACCCGTTGTTCTAGAGTCATATTTTACAAGGGTGGTATTCCACTTCTCCTTCATGAAATACATGTAGTTTCGCGTTCCAATGGTTAAGCCTTCCGCGTCAGACTAAATGTGCGGTGAAAACTCAACCAGGAGCTACATTCCGGTCAATATTCCTCTCTGTCATCCATGGTTCGACGCCGATGGTATATGTTATCTGATATTGATCTACTACAGAACTGATGCCTGTTGAGTAGTAATCACGGCAAGTGCCTGCGGAGGTACGAATATGATAAACAACCCTAGTGCTTGATGAGGACTTCTGATACTTTCGCAGAATCTTTACAAGATTTCTGTGATTTGGGACCAAGGTTCTACCTCTATTCATTTACCCGGGGGCCAACGGTTCATGTATTGGCCGAATACTCCCATGCTGTAGGATCCAATTATAACTCGAGCTGTCGAATGTCACGGTCTTGGTATTTATATTTCCCTATCATTCCGTCTCGACTCAGCCTTGTCACCTAGTAAACCCCCTACTGTTTCCATGCGATCTACATCTCAGCTAGCTACGACAACCTTGTGGCAGATTCGTTCTGAGAATTTGTCTTTCGAGGAGCGCGTAAAACTTACATATGAAAGGTGCAAGTCTGTCGTGCAACATTTCAGTAAGTCTCGATAATCCCTCGTAATCTTTGAAGGTGCTCATCGCTGCCAAAAGACCTGACCGCCGAAGATGTTCTTAATGTTACACCGAGGTATTGGGAGTTCCATAACGATCCTATACTTGTCATGGATTTTTCCGTGGGGACAATCTTAACCATTCACTACAACCTCTGCATTGGAACATTGGCGATGTATCTGGACCATCGTCCCGACCTCAAGGATATTGTTGATCGACTCTTAAGTTTCGAATTGAAGTGCGTCTGACATTCCCGAATGGCGGCTTCTCGTTTTAATCCTTGTCATCCAGCGGACAATATTGTCTTACAGAACTCGGACATGGTCTCGATGTTATTAACATGGAGACCACAGCGACCTTACTACAGAGTGGAGAGTTCGAGCTTCACACCCCAGTAGCCCATGCAGCAAAGTCAGTAGTGCCCTTTTAAATAACATTTGACTGATACATATGAAAAGGTTCATGCCACCGACTTCTCCATCCGGAGTTCCTTGCGTTTCAATCGTACACGGTCGTCTCCTTGTCAGGGGGCAAGATCACGGACCGAAGGTCTTTCTTGTTAACCTTCACGACGGAAGAAATATGAATGAAGGAATCATATCTAAGTTCATATAAAATATCATTCTTCCACCAAGAGGGATGCTAATCATATTTACAGGGTCCTTTCTCCTCGCGGCGGAGCTCGTCCAGTAAAGCACTGCTTGACGTACTTCAAGAACGTTCACCTGCCATCGTCTGCCTTATTAGGATCACTTGATCGACCGAAAAATCTCCGTACCGCGTTCTTTTTCAACATATCTCGCGTCATTTCGGGGACATTGTCCATGGGTACTTTCGGAATTTCGTCCATGATGATTTCATCGTACATCGCAGCAAAGTACAGTCTTCGGCGTCGAGTGGTTGACTCATCCACTGGACAGCCAAGGGAGATCATGTCGTTTGTCACTCAGTCTACGCCCGTCCTTGCGGCCATTGCTCAGACGCTCGTATTGGCCGCGTTTGGAGAAACATCTCGAGAGAAGTATGTAAATGCTGAGGATCTATCTGTGAAACATTTCATCGCTGCCATCTTCAAGACGACGGTCATGAAACTGACCAGTACCACGACCCTAACTCTTGGAATGCGATGTGGGGCACAAGGACTTTCCGAAGTGAACCAAATTTCGGTCTTGAATGTGATTATTATTTCCTGTGTTGTTTTTATCTTCAATAACACCGGTGATTCAGGCTGACATGCGAGGCGCCACCATAGCCGAAGGTGATATTCTGGCAATATCTATACGTGCGTGTATTATCCCATACAACATACATATCTAACGTGTACTTTTTATTTTTACTAGGATTTGCCATCGACGTTCTATTAGGTCGTCTTTCCCCTCCTCCGACCGCATATCCCAACAGTCTTCTTCACAAACGCGAACAGGACTTATTGATGGTGCTCTATACAAAATTAGCATCATTTCCCGATCACAGGAACACACCCGCAGAAAGGGTGCTTCTCCCACACTGCCAGCCTCTGATCGAAGCCATTGGATTGCGTATGGCATACGATGCTGCTTGTGAAAGGAACTTGGATTCCGCCATCGTCGACATGTTTGTTGCGAGCGCGATGGTAGCTGACCCAGCCTGGTTCTCAGAGAAAGGGAAAGTATCTCGGGAGAAGCAGATTGAGTTTGAAGTCGGTGCTGCATCTGCTCTTCTTCCACAATTGGATCAGCTGTTGGAGATGCTCGATGTAGAACCATACGCAGTAGCGCCCATCGTCTCGAATCAACGATGGGATAGGTATGTGGAGTCGCTGGAAACACATGGGGATAGCAAATTGTAATCATAGGCCAGAGTAGTATTATATAAGAGCATGAATACTTCCAGGATTTTCTCCTTCTTTTATTCAACGCTTTTAGAGGTAAGGCACAAATGATATCAACGATTATACAGATCACAATCATATATATTAACGGAGAGGCCACATGTTTTCTTGATTAACCAGTGGAGTCTTTCTTGAAGCACAATGAACGCAAAAATACCGAACACAAAACAAAGATCGCTTACTTTATAAACGCCCGCCATGTCCGAGTCCGACATCCACACAACAGTTCCGATTCCATTTCTGACAACGCTCCAGGCCATATTATATCGCTCGGACTAGGGGGAGTTGGCAGGCAAATCGGATGTGAACCTCGAGCAGGGAAGATAGGCCATCATACAACAATGCTCTTCTTCGTGATCAGAATTCACCCTATGTCTAGCAATGGTTCTCTTTTACGCACTCACTATGACGAATTAAGGCAAATAATGTTACTGAAATTTGTCCGTGTACGTCGCGGGACTTCCCCTCTGCTGAATCATAAGGAACAATGATGACCGGCTCGTAAATTTTTACTTACCGAGGAATCATCGTTCTTTGCTGATGAAAGGGTTGACGACACTAGCAGAGATGTCTTTCCCCTCTGGCTCTGAAATCGAAGGACGAAAGGCCACCAATCATCGGCTTCATTGCGTGCAGTGACGCTTTGTTCTTTCAACAAGCATCTTTATGTCGGTTACTGCAATTCTGTGGACGGAACTGTGTAAATCAGATCATTGTCAGAGGTCCGCACTACACACACGGAAAAGGGCGTAAAGATAAGGGTACAAACTTCGCGAATAGTAGAACAAGCTATCATTGGGTTGAGAAACGTCCGCATCGAATTGCCTCCAGTACAAGCGCAACCGACGCTGAGAAATACCCCTGAATATCAGTTAAAAATATAAGGAAAACGCTAAACGAAGGACGATCAATTCACAGAAAAGTAGTATTTGAGAGATGAAGAGCACCTGCTGGCCAATTGAATGTGTAACCGCCCCAATCTATATTGTCCACAGAATGAGGTAACTATGATAGTGATATCGTTCGTACCTGAAGCTGAAGGCTTCCATAATCGGTCGGGGTTATGATGGTTGGTTGTAGAGGCCAACGCCAGGAGGTGACTTATTCCGTACTCGACGCTAAGCGTGTTTCTTTTCGCAATGCTCGACGGTTGCATACTGAATAACGTTCGCCCAGAAGACGCTGGAAACAGGCGCTAAATCGATCATGAAGCTCTCGATTGTGAGCATAAGATCCCTACATTTCCCCTGCCGTCAGAGACGCGACAGAAAGGTAGCCCACACGTCGGGCAACTTTCCAACATATTCACGCGGGTGTCATGTCAGAGTAACAGTCCATACTGGGTCAAAGTTTATCAGGCCTCTTCAGGGATTGGGTAGAAGGGAGAAGAATCAATTAACCGATATCATTACACAACTTGACAGGTCCGTAGAGGAAGGAGAAAACACTCAGAAGACAACAGAACGGTGATGACAGCAGTAAGAGTGATCCGATAAGATTAGGGTTCGCATGACAGAGTAATTGGAAATTCGATCTGGTTCGCGCTATCATCTTCGCGTCAAGATCTTTTGCCGTGATATCTACTTGGCTTTGTTGTCAGTCACCACGCCATTAGTATGTTTTTCGCCATACTCTGCCACTGAGAAAGTCGTCCAAACAAAAAAACCTTTTCCGCCACGTCAAGAATTGATAAACTACATTCGAGTAGAGTATAACAATCGTTCCCACTTGATGCAGTGGATATGTAGGGCGACGATAAACGCTTGAGCGAACCGCATAAAAACATTCAAACACTATTAGAAATCCTCTCGAATATAGGGAATCAATCCTTTACAGCTCACCAGCCACCAAGTACCCCATATACGAGTCCGATGGCTGCTTGTACGATATCAGCGAGCCCTCCAACTCCCGGCTCTAGACTGGAGGAGAGCGAACTTCCTGGCGCCATCAGGAGACCAACAGTTCCAGAACAGTAGTAGCTAATCTCTGAAGCAGATAGAGTGGATAACGAGGACCAACACCATTGACTCGTGTGGCGCCCGTGAAAAAAATCAATGGCAAAGGCAACTACACATTCAGACCTAAGGAATCGAACCACCAAGCTCTATGATAACCCTATAAGTTGTGCTATACCCAAGTGCAAAGAACGAGAGCGTTTATGTAGGTAGTCCATCGCAAAGAGAAGATCGACAGGGAGGGCAAGTCCACCTCGACACAGCTATCAAGTGCAGACCCCCAAAAAAACTCGAGAAAGTCTGAGTACTATGATACAGCGCACGGCCTTTGGGGAACAGACAGCATCATCTTCCAGAGAAAGAAAGAAACTTGGACACGACTAACCTTTCTCTGTTCTGAGGAATTAAAAAAAATTTTCTACACCTCGCCCGAAACGAAGCTGAATCGGATAATTCCGTCCGGTCCTTCCTTGTGCCAAGATCAACGTCGACGTCAGTGGTCTAATAGCCGGTCTTGCTATCTGGGGTTCAATTACCCGCATCAAAAATACAATTGTACTCTTTGACCTTTGTGTTTTTTTCTTATTTGGACGGTACGCGACGGACCCTCTCTATTATTAACAGTCATCATCCAGCTCACCTGAGCAAGAATGTTAGTTAAGCTCGAACTACGAGTCAAAAAGTCCTTCTCGCTGATCTCTATCTTGTCAGTCAAAAATTAATGCAACCCTTAACGTTGGCCCACATAACAAGAAACCCCGGCTTCGCCTTCATAATAAAGCATTCATTGTCGTCCATTCTAAAAAGAACGAAAAAAAAAGCACATATCCAAATCCTACAACCGCATAATCAACTGCTTAACACCCGACATCCACAACGCAATATCATCCGTCTGCGACCCTTTCGTCAACAAATCCACATGAATCGCCAACGCTGCAGGCCGATCATGAACTTCCATCGCTAAGCAACACCATCAACGAACGTCTCAAACCCCCGCAAAATAAACCAAAACCACTTACCTCTCGTCAACACCAACAGCTGATCAGCAACAGGCTTCGACAACGTCTCACAATTCAACGCATCAAACAACGGACTGACCCGCCTCTCTACATCGTCCACCTTGCGTCTTTGCGTAGGCTACATCCATCCCATCCATCAGCTCAAAACCAAAAACGGAAACGAAAATCATACCGGTGTGACCTGCCTCATGTGACTCAACTGCGCAGACAGAATCTCATACGCAGGACGGAGGTTATCAGGAATATGCGTACGATCCCCAGGAGCTACACATTCCATCAGATCATGTCAGAACACATTGTTAATCATCCACGTACGATATTTTGGTGCAGGAGGCGCATTTACTGCACGAGATGCTGCTGCTGCTGCTGCTGGCGGCGGCGGCGGCGGTGGTGGTGGAGGCGCCTGATTCATAGGCGGTGGCTGAACACTCGGAGGAGGCGCATATGCTCCATCACCATGCGCTGGAGCATACGGCCCGACCTGAGCAGGACCGTACGGACCAGCTTGCTCAGAAGGAGAAGCATGAGCGTACGGTCCAGGACCTGGTGGCGGAGTAGCACGAATGTACGGTCCCGATGGGGGAGGAGGATGAGGATGGTGCTGTTGCTGAGGGGCACGAGCAAACTGGCCTGAAGGAGGTGTCTGTCCCGCTACCGGCGCACGAGGCGCGTACTGACTAGGCGTCGGCAATCGAGGAGGCGGAGACGTGATCCTAGTAGCCCCAGAAGGCGGTCTCACAGGAGGAGGATACATCCCCCGAGCCGGCGGAGGCGGGAGCGGCATTTTAGCACCACCAACACTACCAGGACGAGGCGGCAGGACGTGTCCCCCAAGCGTAGGTTCCGGGGTAGAGTTGGGGAACGGCGAGGTAATCGCAGCAGGTTTGGACGGAAAAGGTGCGCTAGGGCTACGCGAATTATCAACTACCGGCGCATCATTCCATCCTCCGTTTTCGGTACGTTTGGGAGGAGGAGGAACGGGAGCAGGAGGCTGACGTGGGGGAAGAGTTGCACGGAGATGTGGCGGCTGCGTCAACGACTGTCCCTGAGTGAACGTATTGAACCCAGGAGCTGGCACTCCCACATTCGATGGGGGCGCATACGCAGGATTCGTAGGAGCAGGGACAGACGGCGCATACGGCGCATAAGGAGAAACGCCTGTCGTCGCTGATTGAGGACCCGCAGAGAACGAGGACGTATAAGGAGAGGGACCTGTCGCCGCCGTCTGAGGACCTGCAGAAAACGACGGCGGATAAACAGAGTACGTTGTAGATTGAGCCGGAAGAGCCTTCGTAGCAATCTTAATCGTACTGGTCCCCGCCGGCTCCGTCTTTGTCGTAAGCAGCCTCTCTCTAATCACACTCCCAGGTCCCTTGTAACCACTAGGCGTCAGCTTCAAAAACACCGTCGCCTCCTCGACCAAACCCTGTGACGCGAGAAGAGACGCATACTCAAAGTACCGATCGTACAGGTTCGCGAGTTTGAACGTCCCGGTATCAGAGTCTTGCTGGAGATCGCCATCGACATATTTCGTAGCCGAACGGAAGACCGTTACTTTTTCAATAAAGGACTGCAGTGCTTGAGCATGCACAGTATAGTATGAGTCTACTTGATGCTTCGTGTCCTCCAACAGTACCGACTCCTGCTCAGCCATCTCCTCCGACCAAATACTAGCGATCCGCTCCAACCTCGCCGCAGCTAAATACGTCAAGATGGCATACTTGCGGAACTGAGATGCCTGGACAAAGTCTTCGGACGCGTTAGACACCGCAAACTGGAACTCCAACCGCCGACCAAGCTGTTCAGCGAGGGTCGAGAACTCTTCCTTGCCCGCAAACGTACAGATGACGACAAAGATCTCTTGCCATTCCTGCAGACCCGCGTTTTGAACAATGTCAGACAAGTCGTTGGTGACGATGGACTGGAAGAGTCGGAGGTAGGGGTAGGTGTTGGTACGGCGGTCAAAGTACGTCTTTTGGGTCCGTTGCAAAAGCTCGGGACCTCCTCTTGCTGCGAGAAGGATAGCGTCTGCGAATCTGTCCGAGGAAAGACACAACGACACAGCAGAGTCAAAGTCGCCAAGGACGAGAGCCTTGGTAACCAGACGATCAGTCTCGGACTCATCAGCCGGATAGATCTTGAAGGTATTGCTCTTCGATGTCTCAGACGTCACCGACGAAGGTCCAGAACCAATAGTCGCAGCGACCGACGAGTCGATACCGTAGTTAGTATGAGGTACATCCATAGGAGGTACACTCTCTCCTGAGAGGCCGATGCTGCTGAAGAAGTCGGCTCCTGCAACGTCTCGCTGAGGCATTCCTGGACCATCATCACCAAACAGAGAAGGCGCCGTCGTGGTAGACTCAGCGTCAGCTAGACGTGTACCCTCAGAGGTAGCATCGGCACTGATCTCCGAAGGCGTCTTCTCGATTGTCCCTCCAAAAGGTTCGTCGTCACTCGCAACGTGGAAAGTATGTTCTTCGGCAAACGAGACCACAGGTTCGTGGGGCTTCAACTCAAAATCGTTTCCCTCAGTATCAACTTCCTCCTCCGAAGACTCTTTTGCTAGCTTGAGCTTCTCGACCGCCTCCGCGACGCGAGCCGCGATATCTGCTTTGGAAAAGCCCAACAGTGTCACCAACTCATCTCGAGAATCCGCTTGGAAGAGACTGAGCAAAGCCTTCCACGCCTCCTGCTCACTAGGCGTCCCGTCCGCCTTCTCCCGCGCAAAGGCCTTCAGGGAGTCTCCTTCGATGGCCGCCTTCAACTTCGTCGCTTGCACGACTAGGTCTTGCTCGGTGACGACTTTTCGTAGATGGACGACAGCGCTCTGGTGCTTCCCTTGTGCAGAAGGAAGGTTAGACACCGACACCAGCTTGCCGCCAAAACCAAAAGAGTTCGACGCTGGGCGTCGCAGCCATTTCGGCGGCTGCTTGAGGGAAAGGGTGCCGCCTTGGGCCTGTGAATACCCCGTGGAATCAAATATGTCGGCGCCATTCCCAGCCGCGGCAGAAGTAGCTACGGCGGGTGGTTCATTGGTCGATTGGATGGAATGGATGCCAACGGTACCGTCGAAAAAGGCGGTAGCAAGGAGGTCAGGGTTGCGAGGACACCATTCGACTTGGAAAGCCCAGTTCGACGCGCTCGGGAGCTCGCCAATGATCTCCGATGTTTGGGGGTTCCAACAGAGAGCCCTGTTGTCCTTGCCACAAGACAAGAGCATATCAGCATCTTGCTTGCACCAAGAGAGAGACAGAACGCCCTTCTCGTGGCCGGTGAGGATTTTCTCGGGAGCGCGCGCGTTACGAAGGTCCCAGACCATGATAATCGGAGAGGAATCGTCTTCGGACGCCGTAACAAGTCTGGTCGCCTAGATGGAAAGAGTAAGCATGCTCCCACAAACGAAACATCGACAAGGCGCACGTTATCTGGATGCCAAGCAATGGCGCTCATTCCTCTTCGACCACCAAGAGCAAGGCTATTCGTCGCGCTGACTTGGCCTGCCAGGGTTCCAGCCCCACCTCCGTACGCGAGGGCAACGACCTCGCGCTTCCCTCGGAGATCCCAGACAACGGTGTAACCAGTCGTGCTCGCTCCAGCAAGAACATACGGGACTTGTTGATTCCATGCAACAGAGGTAATCTCGTCCAGCTTCGTGCTCCTGGATCCGGGGGTCGGAGCATATGGCTTCGTAGGGTCCTTGAGGTCCCATATACAGACCTACACCAAGATCAGAGTGAACACCGTTGCACAGACCGACGAATACAAACCTCTCCATTAACGGCACCCGACGACAAGAGGTGAGTCTGCAAGGGATTAAAATCCAAGGCTCTGATGGGTCCGGTGTGGTTGTTATTCCGCAAGATGAGGGATTCACTGGAGCTGTCGGACGCGTTCAGAGGGAAAAAAAAAAAGCCTACAACACAGACACGCACCTATCACCGGCAAGGATCTTCGCTGGATCCCACAGTGCCAGCTCTCCGTTCTCCATACCCGCCGCAATGACCCCCTGTAGTCGACTACTGTCGACGTACCCCCATGTCAAGCGGTTGAACCTACGTTGGCATTATCAACATGGACTCATCAGTCTAACGACCACACAACGCACCTCGCTGTATCCTTCATGGCGCCTTTCGGTCCCGACTGGCCCTGTATCCCCAGGTCAAATTCATTTTTGTCGAGGAAATTGGGAGCCCAGATTTCGAGCTGGCTTTCGTTGCTGAACGATTCGTCGAGGGCACCGGCGACCGTCCCTGTCGCAATAAGAGGAAGAGAGGAGGACGGAGACCAGGTGAATGTGGAAGTCCTGTGGATCTCTTTCAATTTCATGATGGTGGAGGAGATTCGTGCAATAGGACCCCGATCGACACGTCCGACACCGTGGAGTTCCTCCTGCCCTAAATATATCACGTGACGAAGCCACGGGGGTTACATCATAGTCAAATTTCCTTCGGCCCGGATCCTCGTCTCTGAACGACGGGTTGTTATCAACTCTTTGTCTCTCTATGCAACTTTCCACCGAGATATTCCATGAACCCTTATGCAATGCAACGGCAGATAAATCATGAACAGCGCGCTGTTCTTTCATGATACTGATTGAATACCGAAAGCGTTTACATCACCACAGCAACGGAATCTGGTGGGTGCGCGAAACATTAGCGACTATCAGCTACCCATCGTTCACATAGAGCCAAGACTTAATACTGAATTTCTCCATTAGGTGAGTTTAAACTTTGGAAGGACTCGAGACTGGGATAAATAAAGAATCTCTCTATGGACCCGGCTGTCCCTTTACTTATGGTGTTAACTGTCGGATATCGCGGCGCAATGAAAGCAGCGTGAACTACCTCTCAGCGAATGCAACGGAAAGTCATACGTTATACGGAGAATATATCGTCTTGAAGAAAGATTTGACATACCGCCAAATGCGAGAAAACGCCGACGAGACCGTCTGAGATAAAACTACTATGGACATTTACAGTAAATCGTCCTATACCGACAAGAGAAGCGACCATAAACAAGGCGAATATTTGAACTTCAAGACTACCACCACGGTCACCCACAATAAAGCCTTCAATCCACACTCATCAATATGGAGTGTGAGGAGTAGACCTCGCAGATAGCCTGGTAAATTCGAGATTATTGAATAAATCTAAACAGAAGGATTCCACGCGCCTTCGAAACATATGCCAGGAAATCAACAAAATTATAATTCCAGACAGATACATTGTGTCCCTTACAATATAGAGTGACCTCGAAGCTCCGAACACCTGGGAGGCTGAGAAGGAAGGTACGATAGCCAAAACGTGCTCCGCGGTACACCCCAGTGTAAAATGAGCAGAGGAAAAAAAGTACTCCGGAGGCATTATTAATTCGGATACAGGGAATCGAACCCTATACTACCGTGTACACTTCTCAGAAGTATTTCATGAAACGCGGTAATGTTAGCCACTACACCATACCCAACCTGCATGTAATCCTGTATCTCAATATATCAAGTTGGTCCTCAAGTACAAGGATGAAAGAACATTGAACTGGCCTTCAGACAAAGCCATCTCTGCTAATGATTTCAAAAAGCAAGGCTCAAGTGTTGGCCAACCAAACATCTAATAATCCAATGCCAATCCTCCACATTTCCACAATTGTAGTAGGTATATAAATAGCATTTTCTCTTTTTGTCCTCATGGGTGACAAATCACAAGTCACAAGTCTGCAGATGCACATCCCAGAACATCTATGAGAGAGAGGGGGGGGAAATGTACCATTCAAAGTCATTGAAATAGTTACATGACTCAAACCACAGCTACCACTTGGCCACTGTTACACCAAGGATACCAATAAGTGCTCATCCATGCCTTATGATGGTACATGTGGCCCTTCTTACCACAATTGAAGCATTTACCCTCTTCACAGAGGACATTGATGTCCCTGAGCTGGCCTTACTCACTATATGTGGTGCTAGTTGCATCTCAACAATCTTGACAAGTGAGTTGGTCTCTGCCAGTCTTGTCTTGTTGTCCATCTTGCAGACTGCCTCTGAGATCCTTGTTCCAGATACAGCATTATCCATTGAGGTAAAGGACCAAGGACCTTCTGCTTGAAGCTCTCATATTCTACTGGTAAGGCCATGACCTTGAATGTATCATTCATTAAGATGTGGTTCACATGACATCAAAGATAGAAGACAAGGTCATCTCATCATACTCAGGCCTGTCTGCAATGATGAGCTCCTCAAACTGGGTGAAGAATTCACCAGCTTCCTTCTTGTATTGTTTATACTCCTGCAACTTGGAGTGGGCCTTGTTCTTCTTGGCTGCATCCTCAATTCTTGTCTTGAAGAGGTAGATGAATTCAGCCCATTGGGTATTGATACCAGCCAAGACTCATGACCCAGTACTGACAGCTTTGCATCTGCCACCAGTCCCTGGCCTTGTCATCAAATAACTGTTGGGCAAATACCACCTGTGAATAGTCATGTTGAAGAAGTAATAATTATACTCAAAGTAATGAGTGCACTGCTATAGGAGCTGGTCAACATCTTAGTAGTTGCTCTTGAGCCAGTTCAGACATATAAGGTCAGGCCATTTGTCTTTCCATAGCCTAGCAGGAAGAAGTAGCATCTGTCTAGAGGTTGTCCAGATCTGAGGGTGGAAGTGATTTGCATAGTCTGAGCACTGACTGCAGTTAGGAGTCTAACCCACTTGGTGCCAGTGGTTGCAGTCCTGCTGGGGGTCTCAGTTGTGCCAGTCCTACTAGCAGATCCATCAGCATCTCATCATCTAGGCCAGTGCTACCAAAGAAGCCTCCACAGAAAGACAGCAGTGAGCTACTGTGGGAACAGAAGATATTTTGACTGTTCCAACTGTCTCAGCTCTCTACTGAAACTTGCAGAGATTGGTGTGGGACTCAGTAAGAGGATTCATAGTGGGCTAGCACCTTGGCATGTCCCTTTTCCTTCTTGGTCTTATTTGTTCTGGCCATTTTAGCATCAATCCATGCTCTGTCTAAGTCAATGCAGTCATCTGAAGCTGCATGTCATGATTTTAGCCTCTAAATCATGTCTGGCTGCCTTAGTTTGTGGTTTGATTGGGAACTGCCTTGTCTTGTGGCTTGATCAAAGACTGATCATGCTCAGCCATCTTAGCTGGGTTTGAGGCACTGGGACACAGGCTTTGTGCCTGATCATACAGACTTTTCTATACAGTATATAAGTCAGTAATACACAGGGATATGCTCCAGTCTCAGCTGAAGTCAATATACTGATCAAACTCATAAACTCTTGGTGTGACTACTACTTCAGTACCAACACTGGCAGTTGTAGCCTATCAACCTCTATACCTCCCTCCTCTTATTGTCATCCAAAACACCATTACCCTCATCCTTCTGCTTTATCTTCAGTTAGTGTCAGACCCCAGTGGTTGCAGTGTATTGCATTTGTGATTGTTTGGTTGTCACCTGACACTGCAATGATATATTCTTCCCCCTCAAGGGGTCACTATACACTACTTGTCTACTACCAGCTTACTCCTCATACTTCTGAAGTGAGCTCTCACTCTCAAGAGCCACTTTTACTCTCCAACAGATTAATCAGTTGTATCCAAGACCAGGAGAGTAGAGTTTTGCTGCTGAGCCAAACACATACATTTGACTTTCCCATCTAAGTGGCCTTAAAACAGTTGTGAGTCAAATGCAGTGGGTCAAAACAAGCTTTGAGTCATACTTGCTCAGTTTCAATACTTTGATGCTTTGTATGACAACAAACTTGAGGCCAAAATTGATCACTTGCACCCAATGATTTTTTAGATCCTATTATGCCTATAGCTCAGAATTGGAGAGAATTCCACATGTTAGCAACAGTTTCTAAGTTAACATGAATCATGAATATTTGTGACATGCAGTACAAAGCAAGAATAGAGAAATTATTATATGTTTAACTTCTAGCTGAAGTATAGAGAATTCAATGTCTAGCAGTACAGTGTCTAAAGTGGGGAATGGATACATATATATAGGGTACAGATAACTAATGGACTGCAACAGAGAACAATGAGATAAAGAGAATGTTGACTTCTTAGCATTGTGGATGAGGAAAAACACACAACATGAGAGACAATGGCCTTGATAAAAGATACCCATATGCTATTTCAGATGGTCTTGCCTGCTGAACAACTTCTTGCAATCTTTATGTGAACATTCATGAACTAAGGAACTGTGAGCACTGGAGCCAAAGAGAGAAAAGGTTGAGTGCATTCTTCTCACTCAAATGCAGACTCCTGACATCCCTCTTCAGATGCTTGTCTCAAATTAAGCACTTTCCACATCCTTTGTATATGAAAATGTATCTTCTCTTGTTCTTATTAGAAGTGCCTGTCTTCTTCATGCTGCATGTGAAAGAAGCTACATTCTGCATGGAATCAAAGTCAGAGGAGTGGTTGTTTTCATAGCTGAGCAAACAAAGGAACTGAAGATTGTATTGGACCCTCTATCTCATATGAATCCCCAGGCCATGAAGATGAGAGGTCCTCCATCTGCAGAGCAGTGGTGGTGGTTACTACTGGAGATGACTCAAGGGAAGTTTCTGCCCTTTTTGAATGAACAATCCACAAAAATAGGGGATCCTTAATCATGTCTTATTTTTGGTGAAGATTTACCTGATATTTCATATGCAAATCCAGGAACATATCTGAAAAAGAGCAATGCAGACAAGATGCACTTCTCCATTCCTTCTATCTCTCTGCACTAGATTCTTGAAAGACACCTTCTTGTACCAACAGCAAATCCACTTCATCAGAGTGGAGAAAAAGGGATTAATTTTTTTTCAGTGTTGCTAGTGTCCCAAAAGTATAACAAAAACATGCATGGGTTAGCATCTCTAAGGTTATAAGGGCAGGGAAGCCTTACTTGATAAGGACCACTGTTCCTCTACAGGGATAGCATCTTGGATTTATTGTTTCATCATCTTCTGATCACCTGTAATTATTTGTCTTGGCTTATTCATAAGACTCCAAGAAATCATTTTCTCTATGCAGCCCTACAGTCTAAAAATATGTGTACTGTGTCTAAGATCTTCTATGCCAATGCATTTCACAAGCTGTTGCAGAGGGAACTTCTGAAATGCATTAACATAAAAGATCTTAGACACACATCTTCCATCCTCTTTCAGATGATGGCATGTCACCCAGAGGATCTAAGATATATGCTAAAAGAAATTTACTCCATTATCTCTTAGATGGAACAAATTAGCCTATATAAAACACTGGTAAGACTCAACCAGAAACTTCAGATCATACATCTCACCCCCATCATATTCCTCAATGTTGATTTTCTGATATCCCCAAAAGAATTTTTGTCTATTTTCAATCATCATGATGTCATTTTTATCAATGACATGAAGTGTCAGTGTTTCATACATGGAGTTAAACACAAGATCTGCCAGTGGATCTGTGATCCTGTATCTTGTGATACAGATGCAAAATTGACTGGATGTCTATGGTTTAGCTTCATCACAAGAAATGCCAAGGGAGGAAACTCACAAAGAGGGATGAGGCAGCTGGTTGTCAATGAGAAATGAAGGATATGACTGAGGTTTTTTGAGCTGCTAATGGTCCATGAATCAATGGCCAAAAAGGAATCTATCCATTGGCATACAAATGCCAAAAGAAAGGCTACCATGGCTGACAACAGCAATGTGTTCCAACTTTTCTCTAGCCATGAACATATTAATACTCAACACAAATACACCCTTCCAGTCTATGTGTTAAAAGTTCAACCAAATGTCTCTTCATGATGAAAGAAGGCCACATATATCAAACATCCTCTGCTGAGCATCATGAGAGATTCTTCCAGTCTGATAGCTCTAGTTAGGTCATGCTACACATCATACCACCCACCTTCTATGCTGGCCATCAGTAGGATCAAAATCCCTCAACTCAGTGTGTGACGCATTGGCACGTAGATCAGCCGTTTGGATGGCATGGGGAGCATCGACGAAAACTAGAATAATACTTCATGGGTGAGCTTATAAAATTTATAGCCATACAGACGAACCTAATTCGATGTCCTTGCTGCACTCTTTTCGAAGAGATCCGAGCTAAAGAAGCACGATGTTATCAGTGGTTTCTCTCAGATCTGATATTAGAAAACGAACGCGTTTGCTGAAGATGGTTGCATTTTCGGCGACGTAATACCACGCCTGTGAAGAAGTAATTTGGCAACGACCCTCTTCGCACAATAAAATGCCCACACCACTAACGATGCCTCCAGCGGTCAGACCGACGGGAGTGGAAGAGCCATTACCACTGGCACTGCCATTATCCAAAGTAAGATCAGGATGATCTGTTGAAATATTTTAGTTCTACATTATTCAAAGTGTGGTCAACTACACCCCACCTTGAGAGGACAGATTTTTGGCATCCGAAGAATCAAAACACCCATTAGGCCAATTCAGGGCTATCATGTGAGTATATGGTTAACGATCTCCCTTTCGAAGAAATAATACCAAGTCACTAACGATTTTAGGCGGCCCAATACGGAATAGAAGCCGGTTCAGAAAGTTCATAACCTTCATCGTAAGGATAGAACCTAAAAAAAATTGTGAATAGAACCCTTAAGTCCGAAATCCGAGGTGGTCTTACGTTGTCGTGGACGAGTCGTCGTCTTGGCATTCAGCTTTGTAGTAGGCCCAGCTAATGACACTCAGCATGGTGGACTGTTTTGATGGAAGAGAAGCCATCCTCACCTCAGAACGGAATTCATGTGCCTTGGCATAACATGCAAGCACTCAAGAAGCTATAAACGGACCAAGAACTACACCCGATCCTAAGATAAGACACTATAATAGAAAATACTCACTCAAAATCTGCTATTCGTCTGTGCGCGTGATTGCTGTAAAGGCTTGTGTCACTGGCCAATGGCAATACACGAGCTCTTTATAAAACAGTTCGAACAAGCCGAAATGTGGTACCGAGGATGCTAGTCGTGAGGAAAGATGACCGTTATAAGATTCGGAGAAACGAATGTCTGACGCATTCGGTAGGACTTGATGCCACTTCATCGCCACTAACAATATTCATTCTGAGCAAAAAAGGGAGTTTTGGTATCCTCACAGGGAGATTTTGTCTTCAATACTGGACGACATGAGATGTACATCTCCAGCAGATGTAGTGATGAATTTCTCTGCTTTTCCACGACGATATGTCAGTGCTCAATTAGGAAGAGTCACAAAGAATGGCTTGCTCGGATTGATTCTTGGCTAGGACTGGTTTTCAAATGTGACGCGTGCCCTGTATATCGAATCATCAATCCGGTGTACTTGCCAGGTCACGCCAGCCTGTTCTGTCCTGGCAGAATTACGGTCTTGGAGACGGATACAATACTACATGTTTGTTCTTCAAAAGCATAACGGAGAGACTTTAACTCTTCTCCCCAAATTCAGGACAGAAACCTGAAAATTCACTGCTATGCCTTCAGATGGTAATTCGCGGAGCCTTTCAGCTCCTAGATGAATACTTTGATCTACGTGGTGTTACACAGTATCTCATTGGTTCTAACCTCCCGTGTATGACATCCCTTCCAGTCCTAGGGCAGTGAACATTTTTCGTTCGTATTCGAGCGTCCCCAATGCTAGTGGACATATGACTGATACGTAGAGCGTCGACCGTCGGAAAGAACCAAAATGAAGATGAAAAATAGCATCTGTGGTAAAGATAGATATCAGGATCTATCGGATTACCCTGTTGTAATGGAAAATGCTGCTCACCTGAGACTAGGTTATCGTGGCGCAGTGGCCTGTAATGGTCCTATGCTAGAAAATGATCGATGTACCGATAGGGCCACAGCCAGTGACGCAATCTGAATGGGTAGGTGTCTTCTGACGTTGTTCTGACGTTCAACTGATGGCTTCGGAAGGTCAGCCGTGGAAAAGGCTCTTGCATATTACCCGTATTTTTGGTTGAATGAGTTCCGATGGCTTACATATCACAGGTACATCTTGCGCCCGTTTCTATCTCATATTTACCGTGGTTCTGATCTATATCAAATACAGGTAAAACACTCGCCACCAAGGATGTAGTCCAAAATCGTTTAGGGAAAATGGAGACCAAGATTCTAATGCATCAACACCAGCGCTTCCACGATACTGGAACGAAATACATCGAATTCATGCCCCCTCCCCCACATCAGCTTGAAAACGTGGATATCGTAACTGAACGTGGAAGTCCACAGCGGAGCTAGCTGAAACGCGAAAATCTCACAATTTCGCCACTTGACTTCCAATATCAAACACCCGTGTGTGCCTTTGTTAACGTCACAGAAACCGATTCTAACTTCTATGATGGACTAAAGAACTTATATTCTCGCGAAGGAAGTCTAGATAATGACTTACACGCAAGATAACAACGGTGCCTTCTTCGTCCCAACGTCCACTCGTGTAACCAAGGATTCGTCCTCTACATTCGTGACTTCCCTACTACAGCTGTGTCAATTCCTGGGTGGATCTGTTCTGATGCATCTCCTCACGCTAAATTCGCTGGAAATTATGCTCGCAAAAAAAGAACTTTCTTCGCCTTCTGCAAACTTCTGATCTGTAAGCGCGCGCTCTCATCCGCAATGTTTGCTGCCGGCTTTTTACACATGTTCTCCATGCTGACGATGGTTTCATTGACCTAAGTTCGGGCTTCTTATCCAACGCCCGATGCACCAATACATGCACCCGTCACACCGTGTTCTTCACACGATATTCTTGGTTTGTACTCCATGGGGATCTGGTACGGGATGTGCGAGCCCGACTGACACTCGTTTGACAATATGTATTGAAAAATAGACAAGCAGTCTCGGTTAGACTAGCCAAAGGAATCCACGAGGAGCTCGTCATCCTCTTGACATCCACGCCGTAACCATCAACAAAGGGAAGACTGCGATCTATTCTCGTGGTCCGTACACCCTCAGTACTCGATGCCATACGAAATATACGTGATGTCATGGCCTAGGCAGATCTGTTGATCAGCCATATACAATCCTAGAAGCCGCGTCCCTGATACTCATCGAACGTATTACAATGTTACAATAAAGGAATCGCCAGCGCTAACTAACGCTAAGAGTGAACTCTCGACGGGCAAAATTAACGAGAATGTAGTAAATGAGGAAGAAATTAGAAGTGAGATATGCAAATAGGTACAAGGACGACGCAGGCCAGCGCGTGTTCACTTCACCGATACGTCTTTATCTGGTCTGCAGAGATATATTTCACTGTACGAAAAAAGTCATTCTTAATGAATCAGTGTCCACGTTACATCTTACCGCTGTGCCCTTTCCCTTTTGATCATGGACTGAGCCGGAGAGGGACTTTTCGAAATTATTGAAGAAAATTGAATGCTCCAAATTGCGAAGGTTTGCGATCTATTACCTGCGCATTCCCAGAAGAACAGTCAAGTTGAAACTCTACTTTTAAGTGGATAAACAACTTACCCAGGAGGAATCTTTGGCCCTCGTCCATGGCGACGACTCACGCCGTTTGGGTGGGATTGTCATCTCCGAGTCTGACCGTAGACTAGTAGACATCCATCGACGCATCCTTTCAATAGGAACCTACCGCATGGCACGTATGTATGTGGTTCTCTGTCCACATGACTAGATGTGGAAATGAACACGTCACTCGGATTCGACGAATAGAATTCCCAACGAAGGGCTGAGTTGGAATTTCAGATAAGCATGCCATCGCCCCGTTATAAGAATAGAATTTGCAGACGACCATCGGAGATGCACCGGTCACTAAGGCGGTGTGGTGTATCTCTGTCCCTGAATGCAATACCCTGGATTATGTTGAAAAGAGAGCTGACCGTGCAATGTACAGGTAAGAAATCAGATCTTTCAGAGTGAGAGGTACCTCGATGAGCGATACCTCTGGGGTTGTTGGAAGCAGGTACTGGAAAGTTCCAAGACATCCGGTGCATCTCTTCCTACGGTACAGACGGCGATAACAATTTTGACTTCACGAGACAGATATCATGTCTGCATGCCTACATGTTTGATGTAGAGAGGGAGAAGTCACGATCCGTTTTTCGAGGATATGAACGCCAGAACCCAAGCAGTAGGAACACAAGAATGTACCTGAATGTACCCAAACGCAGCTAGCATTTTACCCAGCGTGGCGCTTGAACTCACAATGTAAAAAATGTCCTGGTGGTGCGGTAGCTGTCGTAGTAGAAGTCCTTAGAACGGGTAGGGAATACATATAACGTGCTTCTCGCTCGGCTGTGGCATATATGATAAGTCCTGAAGAGGATTACCGTATCTACATTCATAATGCGTCCCTAAGTCCACGTCCCCTTGTTGGATTCTTCGTTGTTGTCGTGTCAGGGAAAGCGCACTGTGTATTAGATTGGCATGTGCATAAGCAAGACCTAGATTCGTATACTCCTTGAGTGTGAGAATCGATCATTCGAGCCAACGAGATTACAGACCTCGCCTTGACATCAACGTTCGAGATCAAGAGCAAACGTCTTACATAACTTCATTCCCTCTTCCCGCTCCGTCATATCGAATTGTTCATACTCTTGTTTTCAACAGAAAGATTCCATATGCGTCTTTGATGCCGATATGATGAGTGGGTTACCCGTATGTAGATTTAAAAATATTACCGTATCAGGCTCACATGTATGTCCATTTTGGAACCGCTCAGATTTTGGGTTTTCTGTCTAATTATAGTATATCATTTCTCTCGATACGTAATAAAGTTCGTCTATCTATGGCCGGTATTATTCTACATTCAAAAGAGTGATCACCCTTTCTTCAGCGAACATGGGACAACGTTTCCGAGGAGAGAAAGAAATATTTCGGCAAACTTGAACTCATCTCAACTGTAGGTAAGAGCTATGCATGTAGATTTAAATGGTCATAAACTTTCCACAGAAACGTGTAGAGTATGATCGCCGTGCTATGGTTACACAAAAGAAATTTACAACATGCCGTTTGACTTTGAAAATTAAGGTGGAACATGCGCGACTTTCAATCCCTGCCATTGAAAGAGTACAGAATTATCTTTCTGTGACATGGTGAGAGAATCAAGAGAGTTCGCCCTGGCACAACCTTAAAAATAGTACCTTCATCTTCCCAAATGAAAAAAGGCCATTCGGCGTGCCGAAAGTTGATCTACCCCATAGGTACTGAATCCGACGAGGGGACTATATGCCGGCCAAGTACTAGGTCCTTTTCAAATTGTAGAGCATTGAGTCAGAAGTGGTTCACCTTCATGGCATAGAAATTCAATACGACGTTCTCTTTATGTATACGCGGTGTCTGACTTTCAGTGTTGACCACACATGAAGACCGGCTACCTAATAGAGGGAGAAGGAAGCGTAACAATTAGATTATCAAAGATCCTCATACATTAGAGTTACTTACTGCACATTGAGGCTACTGCTCCCGAGAAGGTGATCAGGGAAAGGGTTAGGAAATCGTGATTGTGGCGCAGCCACGGAGTCTCGTGATTATCAATCGATTATATTGCGGAAACATCAAACCTGCGAAAATACAAGCTTATTGTGACAGTATTAAATGATGCGAACAAAAGATTGAAGGATCCATAAGCAATCCACGCCGAGTCCACACCCATGTCGACAGGCAGAATCCTGGCGTCTTCATGGACGAGATGACCGCCTCGGCGGATTCTTTCCTAGAGCAAATCGATTTATTTTTCCTTCGAGGAAAGGCACAGGTACATAACCTAATAATATTTAATGAAGCTTTCCTAGCTCTCTCACCACCGAAGCGACGCGCAAGTATGGCGCCTGCAAACATCTCACTCCCGAGCATTCAAGAGATGTTCCCAGGTCAGCTCAGTGTTATTTAACCCCTAGATCTTCTATAATGGCTAATGTGTCTGCTGCGACTGGCTTACAGAATATTTGTTGCATATCCCACCAGAAAGGCGCGTCGAATCCAGTGCGCCTCAAAGCCCGACCCCCTTTCATTCTCGTCCATCCGCACTGTCTAACGGACGTCACAGTCATGAGAGACACTCGCCCGGTTTCTTTCGCTCGGTTCCGGCTTATCATTCTTCACTCCCTTATAAACTCCGGGTATCAGACGCTCCTGTGGGTCCCAGCCGTCACTCAGCAAGCGAAGACATTGAGGACGATACTAAAAGATTTATCTGCACGATCTGCAATAAGCGTTTTGGTCGACCTAGTGGGCTCAAAATTCATTTCAATACACATACTGGCGCTACCCGTGAGTCTCACGTCAATGTCACCTTCGGTCGGTCTATAACTGAGCGCTGCGCATATAGCTTTTCGGTGCCCGGTTATTCGCTGTAGAAAGGAATTCAATGTCAACTCCAATATGCTTCGGCATTACCGAAACCATATGAATCCTACCTCGGTCACGGGGGTTTCTGCCCTCTCTCACTCACCTCCGATCTCCCACTATCAGAGGACCCCCAAATCAAATTCGGTCTTGCGCTCTACATTGTCGAGCCCATCTTTTGAAAAGGATGAACAGGGGCAGTTAAGGAGTCAGCCGCACAACGCGGTATCTTCAAGGGAGAAACATGACGGAAGGTACATGGAAGGCCCACCTAGTATGTACGAGCATGAGGGGCAGTATGGAATGAGCGATATACGTTCTAGGCCAGATACAGATACATATGGATGGCAGCGCGAGTTGGGAGGAGGCTACCTGTATGCGACACCTCATTCGCAACCCTACGTCTAATGTGTTAAGTCCCCTTGCTTATACTCAACCATGTCTTGAACATGGCTCATTTTCCACGTTATCTGCATGCCCTATTGTTGCATAAATAAGTTGAAAGTTCAAAGAAAAGTGACTATGCGCCAATTATGCCATTGCACGGAATATAACCGGCACAATTAATCGTTAGTAAGTACCATTCGTCCACAGTACACTGCGTCTTTTCGTGGACAAAGATAGGAATTCTCACCTATAATAATCTGCGACTCAATTGTGGGAGAAGTGATGTATAAAGTCCAAAGTATGAGCCCATATTTATGTATAACACCCAGCTCGTCAAAATGCAAGATTTATTTTATCTATACAAGTGCTGACAGCGTTGACCAAGAGCTCGGGATTGACATAACTGGCAAAGCAAGTTATAGCGACTTTCGTCGTACGATCATACTAGAAACGTACATGCATAGAAGGGTTCATATAAGACGAACAGATCCTCGTAGTATCCGCAACATCATGGTTAGACACTAAATAATAAACCACGTTCCATCCTCTTGGCTATTACACCTCACTTATTCGCATTGCTATAGAATTTACTAGTTAGAAAACTCTTCCAACGAATCGTTTAGGCTACTCACACTGGCTTGTAGGTGCAGGCAATCTGGCGTCTCCGGCAATTCGCACAGGAAGGACGATTTCCATCACATTTCAGCTTTCGACCTGCACGTCGTTCATTGAGCTGACGCTTATAATTCAACGGGATCCTCCTCACCTCGACAAAATTCGCATGCCATGAGTGTCCTTCTCGGGGCCCTTTCGGGCTGTTTGTTGGACTGGAAATCGAACTAGATGAGTACTAAAAAAACATTCACGAGTGATGAGATAGCGCACTGCAGAGGTCGAAGGCATAGCGCAGATTTCGGTGCCCACGTTCAATATTATATGCAGCAGGTAAGCTAACATGGCGAGCTGCCGAGAAAGGCGCGGATGGCCATTGTTAATCATTCATTTCCGAGTCCTGTCTCTTCGGATCTGAGGCGTTCATTCTCACCGTGACCATTCGAAAAGGACGACGAAAGGAGAATTTGACAGAGGTGTGCTGGAGGCTATGTGATCGCGTAAGCTTGTCTCAGACTGATGAAGCCGTTGTACCCAGCGTACTCTGCAATTTTTTTTGTACAAAATATTAGGAGGTCACATTCCAATAACACTGAGATATTAGGTAGAAGCAAAATACCGGCATACTGAGTGCCAACGAACTTAAGTTCGCTATTTCCACGCCGCCCATATTGGTTCGAGGAACAGCTTTCCCTTCGGAAGCCCAGGGCTGAGATATAAATACATTTGGATGCCTTGTGCTTCGTTAGTAAAATACATTGACACAGAGAGGTAATACTTCTCTATAGAGTATTCTAACGAGTAGATGTACATTCTTATTGGCCATGACGGCTATGTTCAAAAGGCTTGTAGTTTCGCGATCATGTTCCAGCGCCTAATTAATCAGACGTGGGTATACTAGATATCCGGACTCGAAAAAAATGGACACGAGGAATGAAGGACCTGCTCCAAAAGGCGAAATAACGGAGGATATGGGAAATACGACGAAGTTCTTACTGGAGTCCACTCGTTCCCCATTTAGCTCACCGCCACTGATAGCTAAAACGTATTCAAATCACGGCATGAATGCAACAAACGGGTGATGGGACGTACAAATTTTGGCCGAGTGTGGTGGGAGGATTTGTACAGGCATTGGGAGATGCCTGTCTTTGTCTCTGGCACTACGCCCTCCCCACCCCTGAGATGTTTATGTTTATTGCGACGCGTATGGTCAGTCACAAAATTGGCGCCGTGTGAGCGACATGATAATCGCGATGTTCAGGAGCTGTTGCTGCTGATCGGCTATCACCACCTTGATGAACACGACAGCATCGAACTCTGTTCAGAGATAATATCTCGTCAGACAACTCTCTCCGCCGTGCATCAGGATAATTTAAATTTCCAAGCGTGAGAAGGACGGAATTGAACAATAATCGGAATAAGTCTTCCATATCGAGCCAGATCTCCGCTCCTGTGGACCTGATGAGTTTTTTTGTAAGCATTGAGATCAGAGTGTGTGCTGAGAGGAGGAATTTGTATGTCCAGGTGGTATATTATGATGGAGGTCGTTGATATGATAGGAATGCGCACTTCTTGAGCGCCGTCGCCGTATGAAGACGAGACGAGGATATTTAAGCGGTGTTGATGGGCCGTCGTCATCCATTGAAGATCAATGAGGGACCAAGACAGAGCAAGGTGCAAACGTTCGCGAAGTCGCCCAGATAACAGTCAGCTGAATGTCAGTTAGCAGTTGGGACTTGGACCTCAGATGTCAAATAGAGAAATCTCCGGAATGAGGACCTCCAGAGCGTACGGTAGAAACGCCTCGCAGGCGCAAAGCATGCAGGGAGAGATGGGATATCGTCTTTTATAGGTTATCTATGATGATGAGGGCGGCACGTTCTTGAGGTAACGAGGCGATGAGATCCTTCAAGATCATCCCGCCCGAATTAGATGGAGACATTGACACTGTTAGAAGAGTAGTAGGGTATTTTTTCAGGGTACGAACCTCGTCATTTGAGGTGTTTCACGGTTACGAGAGTCAACGCTCACACAAGCTTTGAGAGAAGAGAGAATTCGAGACCTTTGTAACTAGGGAACCATGTGCAAAGAGGTAGTCGGTGATGACGCCTGTGATATGAGGAAAAGGTTGTTACGTGCTGTTACCACGAAAGGCTATGGACCACGTTGTAAATCACCACGTAAGTGCCGATCAACATACCGACACGTGTACTTTGTAGCGCTTTGACGGGGCGATTACTGTTTCGAAGCTTGACGCTTGAAGCCTGGCAGCTCATAAAAACTGGATTCATTGTCTGCAGATAAATAAGTCTTATCTGGATGTCATATTCAGCTATGGGAGACGATATGAGGAGTCTGGTTTTCAAAGCACATTTTGTTAGTCGGGAAGTAATCTCTGTACCTACGAAGGGAGATATTATATTTTGAATCGTTTCCCTTCATTACTTATAAGTGGCGAGAGCAGAGGTTAGTGTGGAAGACGGGTGATGGGAGTAGGGAAAGAAGCCGGTTCAGCAACCGCCGTTGTCTCTCGCTATTTTCCAATTCTTGTCGGCATCTTTCTTCACTCCATTCTTTCAACCTTGAAATTATTATTCACTTATTGCAATGAAATCTATGGATGTGGTATAGCGACGACCATTAACGCACCCCGGTACCCAATTGGTTTTCGTCCACTTTTTCACCTCTTCACCAAGGTCACTTTAAAATTTCCTTCATCATGATTTTCCCGTTCTCTCATTATTCTTTACGTAGTCTGTCTCATAGGTGTCGCCAAAGGTGCATCAAATAACGACACTGTCTCCTACATTTTTAACATTTAGACTAGCTATTGCGCTCTCAGACTTCCGCGCCGTCTTCAAAATGGCGTCATTTGCTGTCAATAAAACTTACTCAATTTCTATCAAAATCGATCTTAACCGTTGAATTGAGAGAAAGGTTGAGGTCATTACAGTGTTATATGCATTTCCGACAAAGAGACTTCGTACAGTCTGTGTTTACTACGTTTCTTGTTGCCCGTCAACTGAACTCTTCTATGCATGAAGCTCCGGAGAGCCTCGTACTTCATCTCTGTATATGATTCAGAACTCAAACAATGGGTTATCCAGCCACACCCCCGGTCATACTCTAGGAACCCAGAACGAGATACTAACACACGGGAATGCAGAAATTTGAGAGCGTCTGATTTATCTGTCTATATGTAAGATTTTGGGTGAAAAATGAGACTTACTGATACTGGTAGCCAAATTAAAGGTCCAAGAAGGCCTTGAATTGTCCCCGGAAGTAAAATATCGGATGTGAATCTAGCCTGCCGTAAACAAGTCCTGAAAACAAAGATTCAGGAATACCTGAACTCGTGACGAAAGGCCCCATTTGGGGCAGAGTCTCGGCGTATGGTAAACCTAAAGTTCTCAGGCATCTGAAATGCATGCCTAGACTTTTGTTTCGCCTGCGGAGCTTCAGGCATGCTAAAACTAGGATTCCGTACCGACATATTTTTCCGGGATACCCCAAACCTTAGTTTCGGCATTCCCTATCACAGGTACAGAAATAAGCATTCTGGACCAGTCGCATCCACGGGGAGCGTTGGCACGGTCCGGTTCCTCCGAGATCACGTGTCGCATTGCCCGCTCGTTCGTAGCTACAACTGAGACCATCACTAGCCGTTGCCGATTCCCTCTCTTGGACCTAGCGATACGGTTCGACCACATTTATGGTACCAATCACACACCGAAATAGGTACCCATATGGATGTTTTCGGCATCGACTCAGTTCAGCAGGGAATGTTGAGTTTCAACTTGAGTAAAGGTGCCCCGCGATCCATTCCTTGTTTCTTTGATTTGGGGCCTATTTCACAGCTTTTCAGAAGCTTTGGTATTGGATAGAGTTTCAGTGAGTTCTATTCTGCTTCTGAAAACTTAGATGTGGGTATTATAGTCAGGATGCTCTAAATTTCTAAATTCCCTGTGTGTGATGTCATATGTGTCATCGGAACCATATGACTTAACTATTTTGGACGCACGAAACATCCTGGATAGACGCTCAAGAAGTCTCTCATCTCTTCTTTCCCAACGCGTAGTCAGAATAATACCTCTCTATTCCGATCCACGATGTCGGTCCATCTCGAGCAAAGCATACAAGATCCGCCCTCAGGACACCCCTCCTCCTTAGGTTTTGTCGCTCACGGAAGGATAGGCGGGACAATGGACTGTCCCGTAACCTCTGCCATTGCCGAGCATCTGCGTATTAACCGAAACGTAAGAGTTGTCAAATGGAACGCTCGAGGCATGGGCGGCAGCGAAGGCGGAAACGAGCTTTCAGGGTTCTTAGAATGGATGGGAGCACGTAACTGTAGTGACTATAAGGTACGGGAGGTTGTCTCCTCCAGGTATACGGCCGCTAAACATATAAAAGGATATATTTCAAGAGCAAGTCCAGAAATTCGTGAACGATTTTCCGTCCGCAAGGGGATGTGATCTGTTCATCTGCGTATGTTCACCAGTGCAGTCCAGGTCAATGGTTACTGACTCGTCCATACAGGGATACTCCGCAGGCGCTATTTACGCCACGACTATTCGTTTCTCGGGCGACCTATATGATCGATGCTGTCAAGTCTTTAGCAACCCTATTAAATACATCCTCGTCTCTTATCCAATCGGCGTTGCATGGGCACTGGGACTTGGGCTCACTGGATGGTACTTTCGAGCGCTCGAAGGACTAGTGGGTGGTTACTGGGAAGACTGTCCACATGAACGTCCCGCGGACGTGCTAATCCTTATGGGCGGAAACGAGGTTGGGGGATGGTTCAACCCCGCACAATGGGCATATAATATGTGGACCGGTGTATTGGACGGAAAGCATCGTCTGGAGCAGGGGAAATTTGGGAAGGTGACGGTTGATGGAGCGGATCATATATGGAACGGGAAATTGCCTCACATTGGGGAGGAAATTGAAAAGTGGATGAATGAATAATTATAATATTACGATGGTTGGTTTTCCAGCAAAGAACCGTGGATATGAAAATTCTTTAACTATTCTTATGAGAGTCGTCTTGTCGGTGCCCCACATGAGCAATATCTTGGTGCAATGTTTGAGAAACCGACTCCTAGATAATGTATATCTCAGTCTGGGGCTTATAGCACAATTGACTGAGGTAGCTCTAGAAATTTACAAGGTATTTATACTACTGCGACTGAGTGGCATTTGCCACCCCACGGACAATGTAATTTCTATAAATAATGTAAGTCTTTTGTCTTCGGTGTATCTGACATCCATTGTCTCAAGAACAATAGGATGCCAACACAATGTAGTCTGGACGAAGTGCTAATGCGAACAGAATGTGAACACATAACCACTTTTCGGCTGATTTCCCAAGCGCAGATTACAACAGGAGAGGAAATGTTCGCAATATGGACGAATGCTTACAGACGGGCGCTCTGTATGCTATACACATCGTCAGATAACCATTTTCTTACAGTCACAGTGTGCAATTATTACTAATAATTTCACGCACTGTCTTCGAAAGGCTTATAGCAAAAAGTACCAGTCTCTGGTCACTTTCCCGAACATCGACGGCTTCAACATCGTGAACAATGACGAATCATGGACAAAAGAAGGAATTAGTGTCTGTGCAAACAATCCCCCCCTTTTTTTTTTGTGGATTTGACGTCGACATTAAGATGCCGTCACACGCGTGTCAGCTGCTCTGGTACAGCGCGATTTCGATGCGGTGTGGATACGTACGAGTCAATAAACCTAAATCATGGTGTTGTCCCTATTTTATTCACATTAAATGCGTATAATTTCTGGGTATCGGAAAGATATCGGTCCCAGCAAATAGCTTCTGTTTCATCTAGGTATGGCAGATTCAAGTACGTCTGCATTGGTCTTGGATCGTGATGGTGATCATCTATGTGGTGGTGCCAGCCACGCCGAGGGTATTTATAAGTTGTCTGCATGTGACATGTGAACTAGCAATCTCATCAGCACGACCCAGCAGTGCCGTCGTTGCGGAAGAAATACGTCCGTGGCAGCGATACTTGCAAGCAAGCAGGTCTCCCTCGACGTTCTTCCGGATATTGTACGGACCACCAGCATTCACAGCGAACAAACCAAGGAGGGATTTATTACCCTTGAACGTCAATCATTGCCCCTTTTTCTTCGGAAGGACGCTGTTCTCTATGGTGAGCCGTAGAGCACTTATCTCGAAACATGGTGATACGAGAACCTACTATTTAGCTTATGAATTTCAATTGACAGGCGGAAACCTGGCCGGAATCAACTACGACTACGGCGTACATTCTTCCATTCATTTATTATGTGCTTCTGATGGTATATTTCATCTGTATGGAGTACTGCTAGTATTCTCCACTCTTGCTATTGTTTGTGTCCTTGTAATGAGGCCCTTTCAGCGACTGGCGGCCCTCGCGGGTCAGTTCTACTATCTATATTCCCGCAGCGAATTTATCCCATTCCCACAGTCCCGGGCCCGAAGTTAGCTTCGACCAACGTGTATCGCGCTACATTCAATAGGCCTTGTTCGCGTCCATTTGAATGACTCGAACATCAGGTCATCTGCGCTGCGCCATTTATTGGATCCTGCATGCGCTATTTGGATGCGGTTTCAGATGACGCAAACAGCTATAAATACGATCCTATATAAGCCCGCCTAACCTAGTGAGAAAATCCCTATTAAATCACTACCACTCGAAACATCTAGCAAACCTACTTATCAACCATCATCGATACTTTTCCCAGACAACCCTTGAAATTCCCGTCTCTGAGGCCTACGGAAACGTTTCGTGCACCTCCAGCGTGAGAGTACTTGGTAGAAGTTCATATTGCATCCCACTTATTATTTTCAGTCGTTCTTGCACCGCCGGCGGGGGTAAATGCTGCTCCTTCAAGAACTGATTCCCGTCAGATTGTCGTAATGGATGGCGGAAGAGAATTAATTAGTTTTAATCGAATCGAACGCTTTCGACTCTGAACGATCTACTACTTATGGGCCCGGAGGCAATCAGGATAATTTTCTGGCCTTTTCACTCTCGATATGTACCAAAGAACCGGAGAGGTCGTCATCCCTCACGGTTCGATTCTAGTTGTTCCTCCCTTAATTCACATGTATGTGGTGCAATGGCACGTTTCATGTGCTCAGGGTTCGGTTCCCTCTCTTCATATGGTAGAGAAACTTGACACTTTTTTCACATCCACGTTCCTTTATTAATTATTTCCCTTGACGGGGTTTTGCTTAGAAACTGACACACACACATTCACACGAAATACCCGCATGCGTAGAGAGTGGTTCTCCCCTAGGACGACCCAGGCGGCGGGGATGAAGGTCTATATCAACACGACACAGTACGTGTGTTGTTTTTTCTCGGCGTATCCTTCTGCTGAGTATTCTACCGCAGTGATGAAGTGTCTGAATGTAGTTGCTGAGGTAATGGACCTTCCCGGGCGGAGGAGGACGGGTCGTGAGTTGCCACTCTCCGAGCTTCCTTTTCCGTTCTCCGGTTTTGCGCCCGTCTCTTCAGTCCCTCCTGCGATGTTCTATGGGAATGTGCCCGCGACGACTGCAAATTATGGGTTTCCGACGTTTTCGGGCTCTCAGGTGCCGTTCGCGAATAGATCGATTGGGGAAGTTTATGCGCCTTGCTATAACTACGCGCCGGCCGCATACAACTACTGGGCTCCATATGAGGTTGCACCCAGGGCGTTTGTAGGGGAGCCGTTCATGTCTGGGAATCATGCGCTCGGGGGATGATCGACCTCGGGATACATAGATTGTGTGTATACGAGGAGCGGGTGAGGTGGTGGCCAATAGCCTCAAGCTCGTCCACCATAGGGCGTAGATACGTCGTTCCCAGTCAACGAACTCTTTGAAGGGTTCTACAGAATGGACTTTTCTTCTTACTAGTTATTTCACTGTATCAGTTAAAATTTCTCCTTGCCGTATTTCTGGTCTTGTTCTTCTCCGTCCTTTGTATTCCGTTCTGTGTACCGCTGTCGTTGCTATAGTTTTGTATTTTCCTTGTATTGCGTGCGGAATATGAAATTTGTATTTCTGGGCCTTCGTGATGAACGACAAAAGCTAGCGGTTATGGTCGCTGATTCTATGATCATTATGAACGAGAAACTAAGATTTCAAGTACAGCAGCTTACTGAAACGGCGGACATTTAGGACGAAGGAGATGATGAAGCATAGTTTGGGAAGAAGGTATTATTGTAGTATATCTATTCGTTTATTTTCTCTGTTGTGCTTTCGAATCAGATTTGTACTGCTCTTATACTGAGAGATCGGAGAGCATCAAGGCCACCACTCTGGAGCCAGAGATACTGACATTCGCAGTGATAACTGCTCGTTCCCACACTCTTGTCCATTGAAGCACAGATGAATAATGACTGTGAGGCCCTAGAATTTGATTAGGCAAAAAATTCTATCTTGCAAAGATCGAGTCCTGTGTAAAACAGGACTCAGAACTCATGTACTCTCAGATCACATACACCAGTCGAAATCAGGAACAATAAAATATTTCTAGCATCTCTATGCAAACTATACTAGGTTTACTTCAAATATAATTCCAGACTCTTCAATCATGGTAAATCATACACTTCTCCACATTGCAAGATTTCACCCACACATAGCAAATGGTCATTGCTCAACCACCACCCAGTCCAGAAAGTGTCTTCTCCCATCACACTCAAACCTTCCTCCCAAAGGGCACTAAGCCCTCAATCATTCAGCTGGTTGATGATCTTGGTATCAGCACACATTATATCCAGGAAGGATACCTGTGTGACACCCAAAGCTGCAGCCTGCTCCTTGTTAAACTGTTGGCACCTGACATCAAAAATGAATTTAACATGTTTTCATCCCCAGTCATTAATGGCATCCATGTTGAGGCCCAACTGTTTCAGAACAAGAATGATTCCAGGTATGACCAACTCATCTGCTAGTGATGCAGCATGATCAGCCTCTTCAAATGATATGGAGAGTGAGTCAACATTGAGATATGCCATGAGATGTCTAATCATTTCAAAAAGTGCTTGCCCAATTCCCAAATATTTGAGGTAGCAAGCAGATCATGCAAGAAAATTGTGAAGTGAATCAATCTTGTGATTGACTTCAATTTCATTCAATATAAAGCTTGAGTGAAATTTGAATACTCTCAATGACAGTGTAGTGATAATATCAAGTATGGTTGCAACATTATGTTACAATTTTTCCTTATTTCTATCTTTTATTCAGGGGATTGACCCCTATTTTGCTTAGTCAGAGCGCTTAGGCCAGCGCTTAGGACCATAGGACAGGCTTAGTCATCACAACACCTAGTCGGTCATTGTCCTTTGACACAACAGTAACTGCTTGACAACAGACAAAACCCTTTTGTAGATAGCTTAATGATACAGGACAAAATGCTCTATAATGCCAGGACAAACAATTAGATAGTTATACCTATAGAATGGATGATGACATGACTGCCTGAATGCAAAGCAGCATCAGTTTATCATGTGTTCACATCACATGTTATTTGGGCTTAACAATTAGCTCAAAGCTTTTAGCTTCTCTTTCTCAAGCTCAATTATGCTGAGAAACTGAATGCCCCCCACACTTAACCCCTCTGATCCAAACTTTACCCATGAGTTCTTTGAACTCCTCACTTCCATCATCAGAACATTGATAGGTTTATTGGTGATCATACAGCTGTGCTGTGGACACCAATCAATCACCACCTGGGCTATCTGACACTATCAAGAATTTCAGCACATCAAAACTATCCTATGAAATGTCACCCCTGACCTCTCCCTCTATGACATCCCTCCCTCTGTCAGACAGTCCTTCTGGCCCCCAGAAGGAACTGTATCTGAACTGTCTCTGGAAACATGTCTGAAGAATATCCTAGGGAAGAAAAAGAGCATTAATACCTACCATGACCCCTGACAGCAATTGTCAGAGATGATAGCAACCCTTGGGCTACAGGGTTTTGAAGACCAAGACCAAACATCCCCATCCCATGGGTTGAGCATGTGGATGTCCCCAGCTGCATCCCTATGAGGAGGGGCACCTCCTCAACATTATTCTCTGAACCTGGCATTGGACATTATGCCAGAGACTCCCTTGATGCCCTTAGGGTGGCTTGAGTTGGAAATAGAAGTCCTCCAGCAAATGACAGTCATGGATCTCTATATATGACACCAACAGAGAGTGGAGAAGAATTCTCCACTGAGCTTTACATTGAAAACCAAAGTACAGACAGTGAGGAAAACAGGACAGGGGTCATCAGGACTGATGACCCAGCCTATGACTATGACTATGAGGCCAAGGCAAGATATGAGCAGGCAGCCACCAGAGAGGCTGCTTGACTGGAGTGATGCCAGAGATGCCATGAGGCTCATCAAGCAGGAGGCATACCAGGCCCATCAAGCCTGGTACAACCAACTGACTGAGTCAACCTGGTCCTCTCTCCAGAGGATGAAGTTCAACATACCAACTCTCTTGCCAAGTACATCCAGAAGCAGGCATGAATCAATTATGAGGCTGCTTGGGAGGATGCCTTCTTTAGGCAATACCTCTGAGCATAAGACAGGGCAGATTGGAGGAGGGGCTCAGGGAGCTCTGGACCTCCACCATTGATGACACCCTTGTCAATTTCTCTTCCCCATTCCAAGAACCCAGTACCCTTGCAATATCTGAAGCCAACCTATGAGCTGCACCTCCTGAAGGCATCATCCACATGGACAATGTCCACCAACAAATGTTGCTCAATCTTGACAATGACCACCCACTATCATATGGGACCAATTCCATCACCAAAACTGATGATATTCCAGGCCAGAACAGAGACTGTCATTCTTATGAGGGGGATCTTGGGAGAGACAAGGAGCACATCAACCCCACCAGAGATCTCAAGCAAATCCTGAATGGATGCCTTGCATCCCTCTTCCTCCAACCTCACTTCTACCAAAACTTCCACTGATATCACAGAGCAGTGGTGGCAGAAGCAGCAGGAGTCAAGGCTTTTGAGAAACAGCAATGAGAAAGAGAATCTCCTTCTTGCCCCAGACCTAGCGACACTGGATCCAGCACTCAGCAACAATCACCAGGATGACCCAGAGCCTTATGACCAGCCTGATGACAATTCCCTCATAGAAACTGAGGCCAAGGTCAAGGAGGATGGTGAGATGGGGGAACCCCTCTCTGAATGGGAGAGTATTTTTATGAAACATCCAATAGAAGAAGAATTGGCAAGAAAGGTACAAGAGGAGTGCCAGAGAGTGTTTTTATAGCTGTATTAGGAAGGGGCAGCCAGCTTATAGAAGGATGACACCTGATTTGTGTTGGCTATAGGACTTAGATATACCACTGCCAACTGTATCAAGCATGTGAATATTATCTAATATGTGGCCACTGAACAGGCCATTTTTATTTACAATGAACATTATTTAGGACACCAATTAGTGCTACTACTGGCATATAAGTCCTGATTTGACATTCAGCCAATGCCATGGACACCAAGTGTAGCACCCAGCTGAGCTATCTATATGGCTCTCTCAATCCAAAGTGAATTATCACAATATACATTCACAACTTCTGCCATTCACAGCACAGCATCTCAGCTCACATAGAGCCAACCTCAGCCTAGAGACCCCTATCAGAATCCATGAACACAACCAATGCTCTGACCATTTGCTGGGCAACTCCTGCCTGATGAAGCCAAAGGCAGCAGGAGTGAGAAGGTGCTAAAAGCACCTCCTCCCACCAAAGATGATTCTGAAGCTCTTGAATTAGGATTCACCATCCAAAATGAGCACATAGTATGCAAGAAGGTTCCACCCTCAAGGAGTCCCATAGCTGATGACAACTCCCTTCATTCCTTCCTGGAAGCCCCTATATTCTGGACCATCCCACCATTTGGCAGGATCTCAAACCCCATGACCACTCTCATAGGTGATGCTACCATTCTCAATGTCAAGCCAATCCTTGTTCAAGAACCTTGATTGTTCAGAGGCACCTCTGAGGATATTGATCAATTCCTTACAGATTGTGACCAATACTTTCAAGTTTTTGCCTCATACTTCCTGCTTGACATGTACAAGGTCATATTTGCCATGACCCACATGAAGGACAAGGCAAAAATGTGGTGGGTGCTTCTTGCCCCCATGTTTTGGTCAACCACATGACAACATCATCAAATGCCCTTGTGGCCAGTGCTCAAACAAATGATCATCAACAAGTTCACTGATCCAGCAGTACAAGAAGTACACAAACAGAAGATAAAGGAGTACAAGATGGCCAACAAGCCAGCCACTGAGTACTTTGACAAGTTGGAATGACTTGGCAAACTTGCTGAGATATGGGACGATGTTGCTGATACAGGTTGCATGGTCAAATACATAAAGATGGGAGCCCTGCCCTCCTATCTGAAGATCATCTCTGACCTTGGCCAGAATATCCCAAAGGGATATGATGCATGGAAGGAACACATCATTATGATGTGCTGAGAATGACAATGACAAAAGGCAGAACAAGTAACACTGTCCATGGAGAGACAGAAGCATCAGAGACAGGAGAACAAGACCACCCCTTTAAATTCAACCATGTCCACCAAGCCTGGTGGCTTGACTCCAACTTCCTCCTATGATGAGCAGAAAACTGGTATGGGCATGACATTCACTGGAATGGGTAAGCCAATGGATGTGGATCAACTCAAGAAAGAGGGAAAGTGCTTCAATTGTGGCCAGAAAGGCCACATGGCATGAGAC